TATTTTAAATTTTTTAATAAACAGACATGCTATTAGTTTTTCATTTAAATTTTTGCAATCATATGTTTACCCCTAACCCAACACCCTAAACTACTAAAATATCTTCTTCTTTTAGTTTTGAGATTGAATACAATTGTTGCTAAAGCTACAAAATGGATTGGAATGACCACTAGGAAAGATGATGTTAAACGGACTGTAGAATACTTTTTAGTGGATACAGTTATAAAGAAATAAGGAATATAGGCCCCTCAAATTGTTAGATTTGGGAGAATATTGAATTTTAGATGACATTTTGTCTGGGTTTTTTCATGAAAATCACCTTTAAAATATGTTAAATCAATAGAAACCATCTTTCAAGTTTATTTTATAAAGAAACCACCTTATAAGTGGGTTTAGCTTTCAATCAACCACCCCAGGATAATTTCCATCATACTTTCACCCAAAATGCCCAAGATACCCTCCTTCTCCGTCCTTCCTCCTCATCCACCCTACCTCCACCCTCCTCCTCCCCCGTCCCACTTTCACTCTCCTTGTCCTCCATCCATGCTCATTTCTCCTCCATTTACCCTCCCCTGTCCTCCAATTCACTTTCATCTTGCTCTCTTGTCTTCCACCCACCCTCCTTTCATTCTCTTTCCTCCCATCGTACCCTATTCCCTCCTCCGCAATCTCAATAATGGTTTGCACGGAGGAGGACAAGAATGAAGGTGAGGGAGAAGGGAGGAGGATGGAGGTGGGTAAGCATAGTTAGAGCGGGTGTAGAGGAAGAAAGGAGGGTATTTTCAGCATTTAAGGTAAAACTTGAATAGAAATTTTCCATAGGTGGTCGATTGAAAGCAAAACTTGTTTATAATTTGGTTTCTGCAAAAAAAAAAAAAAAAAAAAAAACTTAAAAGGTGGTCTCCATCGATTTAGCCTATTTCAAAGGTGGTTTTATCTAACAATATCCAGTCGATGTAAAAGGCTATACGTGATGGCCAGCTATTTAACTGTTTAACTCTACGTGAAAGTTCTAACTCTATATGGAAGTTTGAACTTCAGAGATAAAGAGTTAAAACAGATCTTTTGGTTGGCCAACTTCTAGTACTCATATGCCCCAGCTCCCACCCTCGACGTCAATCTCTTTCTTCAATCAAAAATTATAATCTTTCTCTTACCCTAGGGTCTCAAAAAATAAAAGGGAGATGAGTCTATCTTCCTAAAGCAAGTTTGAGGCAAGAGAAATGAAGTGGAATCTAAATGAGAAGAGAGGAGAGAATAAAGCACTATGGAATAAAGTGTCAGAATATAGGAGAACAAGCTCTATTAATAGATTCATTTCAGATTTTCTTCTAAAGCGGATCCCACAAATCATTTAGTTAGGGACTGTTTGGCTCTAGATTTTGTATTTTAAATTTATAAAGTTGCAAGAAATCTAAGAAATCGTTAATTTTAAAAAATCTTACTTCTAATTTGGTATGTAAAATAGTTAACAGAAAGTCAATTGTGAGAAAAGACTCTAAAGATCTTGCTTTTTTGCAGAGAAAGCAAAAAAAATTGTAGAACGATTTATAGGTCTCATATAATTTGATATTATATTTAAATACAAATATATTATTATTTAAAAGAATTTTTAACAAAATTGAATTTTTATTATTTTCATCAATCTTTCCATAATTTTAAAATATTTTTCTATATTTTTCTAAAGAGAGTGTAACTCATATTTTTACAAATCTTATATAATCCATCCTTCTTGTCAAGATTACTGACATGAGTAATCATGAAAAATTAGCAAAAATGGCACCACAAGTTCTCAATTCCCAAATGGTGAACCAAACAAACAAAATATGGTAAGGGAATTATAGTCTAACACAAAAGTTCTCATGCGGGCCCCAATCTAAAAATATATATGCAAATTAAAACATGTTGAAAAAAACATGCCCCTAGAGATCAGATTGACATAAAATTGTTCATTTTCTCTTCTTGTTTTATTTTTTAATTTTTATTTTTTGTAGGCTTATTTAGATTATAATCCCTCAAATCTTTCATAATTCTATACTGCTCCCTCAAATCTTTGAAACTACCCATTACTCCCTAAAATTTTATAGGATATTGCAATTTAGTCTTTCTGATCAAATGTTCTCATATCTAATAGTGTGTGAAGCAGTTATGAGTTATGCACCTCATATAATTGCATATTACCCTATTTTAACTAGTTTAAATCTAATACCGCTAGAAACAATTTAAAATCCACTTAAAATCATCTTCTACAACAGTGATCAAACAATTCATAACCCAAATTTTGAGCTTAAGCAATAGTCATATTTCCTTAAAAAACAGAAGATGGATATATTTTAGTAATTTAGGGTGTTGCGCAGGAGTTGGCCCAATCACGATTAGAAATTTTAATCGAAAAATAGCAGAGGAACTAAATCATAAGACCCTATAGGATTGAGGTGCTAACAAGCAATTTCAAAGATTTGACCTAATTGAAGATTTGCTGCAATGTCGAAGAGTTTACCCAGACTTCTAGTGTTAGAGAATTCAGAAAAAGCCTTCAACTTCTTCTTGCTATTTATGGTCAGCTAAGTCATGGTATTCGGTTGTAAGCATATTCAAGGTAACATAAGTGTACTAGTATCAGTATATTTATGAAGTAATTCAACTTTAGTCCAATGGAAGTATTTAGCTTCTTTTGCACGTTATCATAGTCGTGGTTTCAAGATGCTTTTATCTTTTCCTTGTGGGGTTGGAATTTGAATATGGTAACAAAAACTTGAAGATGTCAAGTCGGCTTAACCACTTAAAGTGTGGGCAATTTTGCATGATTTATGGGGTATGTATACCATATAGGCTTAACCGATATAGGATATATCGTTTAATCTTCTATGATGGATTGACATTTTCCCCACACTTTAAGCGATTAAGCCTACTTGATTATGTGCATGTAGATTGTATAATGCAATTAAATCTTTTAAAAACTTCACATATAAGGTTTCGATTGCGAGAATTATTAGTTACTTCATATTTGTGCATTCAAAATCGACAATGAAATCATTTTCATAAAGGTTTTAACACTTTGTGTGAACCTTCTAACCCTCGTGGACATACATTATAGTATTTTTAAAATTTTGATTTTGAAATTCCACTTCAAATAAGAGAAGACACTATACTTGTTATTTCTCATCTCTAGTTTATCCAAGAAACCGTAGATCTTTTTAAAGTGAGCATTTTTTTAGTCTGATCCTAGAGTCGAAAATATTTGGGGGCAAGAGGCCATTAAAGGTGAAGATGCCAGTTAATCAGCTACCTTAAATCTTAAGATTAAGGCACATGTAAAATTTTAAATCCTCATTCCTCAAATATTTCTTTTCTGGGGGAGAGATGTAAAATTTTAAATCCTCATTCCTCAAATATTTCTTTTCTTTTCTTTTCTTTTCTGGGGGAGAGAGTCGTTGAGGTTATTTTTATTAGCCCGACACCATCCTCTTTATGCTTGTTGATTTTTTGATATTGTAAGACTAGATTTAGCATTTGGTTTGTCACGGTTCTCAATTTTTTTAGTCTTTCATAGAATTAGAAATTTGTATAGTAGGTTGAAACTTGAAATAATTGTTTGTTCTGATTGGGTCTAGAGTTATGTTTGAAAACAATTAAATCCATCTTTGTAAGTTTGCTTTATGGGAAGATAAACATCTTAGAGATGGATGTTCTGTTCTTGAGCTTCTAAATTGATATACTAGAGCAAATAGTTACAATGTCTATGGTATAGCTTTTACTGTAGCTTTTAAATGAAAGATGTCATAATTCATGTTTCAATTACTCTTTTTTATTTATGTATTTTCATAGTGCGACTACCACGGGTCTCCAAATTTTTGAAGCTTCTCTAATCATTATTAGACCTTGTATTTTTTCCCAATGTCAGTCAAAATTGACTTCCTTGCTATGACCTGACATATGCAACAGGTCGAGTTGTATGATATTAAATTAAATTTTTTCTGCATCACATATTATTTATCAACGACTATATCAATGGAAGTAGTACAATAATAATTAACTATACTGAAAGACAATCAAAGATATCTAACCCTATATAAGAAAATGAAAAAGAATACATGAACTCATTTCTTGTACTCAATGTTTTAAACAGACTACTCATACCACCAAGACACAATATAGTTTTCACAACTACTAATTATACATGTCTATAAAAAATACACGAACTCATTTGTTAGATAACGTCAAAGGCATATATTACACATGAACTCAGGTAGGGACAAATATGCTCAGTTTCTGTCTCCCGCGGATAATTAAGAAAGACTCAGGCATTGGCTATGACTCATGATTCAGTACGAAAACAAATTAGTCTTTTATGTTTGGAATTTAATTCTTTATCATGTTTCTTGTAAAAGAAACCTTGAATCTGTTGTTATCACAACTTGAACAAAATTTAGTTCTCAACCCGTGAATTGCTTTTTTCAAGGAAAGTAGGTTGAATCAGTGATCCATTTATCCATTTGCACCTATACGTATAGTTGTATGCATGTGCATGTAGCATGTGCGTGTGTGAATATATATACACAGTGGGTCAGCAAAAACTTCAGATTATCGAGCACAATCAAGATATTTGTCCCCACTTGACAATACATGGTCCCTAATAAATATTTTGCATCTTTCAATCATAATGTAGATACTACTAAAATTCTATATGAACATATACTCGGGAAACTTCCAAATCTTGTGTCGAAATTTTCCCATTCGTTCCACCACTCTGCGGAAAAATCCTTAGCTTTGCTTAATTCATTGGTTAGAAGTATAGTATATCCGTAGTAATTCTACATGTTAGAACTAAATAAAAATTCATCACTCAGGAATGCAAAATGCCAAGTCTCCCGTAAAGGGGGAGGGGGGAAAAGAACTGCATTTAACTGTTTCTCCTCGGTGTTTTCCTTCTCGCTCTTTGCAACCAAACATTGGAATATGGCAGTTTGAATTCATGGACAAAATGACTGGGCACTAACCTCGTGTAAAGGAACAAGCGATTAACATCAGCTTCAAACTGGAGATGCCTCGGATCCCGAGCAAATGCTGGACTCCTTGCCAGAGTTTTCACTGCCTACAATCAATAATCACAGATCAAAATCGAGCGACAAAATCAACAGGGAAACACAAAAGTTGACGACTTCAGCAATTTCCATGTTTGGGCGGGGGGTAAAACCCTAAACCCTAGTAAACCCTAGTCAGGGTTTGAGAGTACCTCTTGAAATTTCCGAAAGAGGAAAGCCATGGAAGAAGCTCAAAGATCCAAGCGCACAAAAGAGGAAAAATCTCCCTCCGTCGATTCTCCGGCCTTTGGACCCGAGCTAGGACAGTAGGCCCCTCTCTCCCCTCGATCTCCCCACGTTTTCTGTAATTGGGCTAAATACCAAATCTCAAGTCTCAAAGCCCACTGTCGTTTTCTACAGTGGGCGCGGGCCTTTATTGGGCTTTTGCCCCATGCTATACTACAACAACAACGACAAAAACAAGCGTCGGAAAAAAAAAAAGAAAAACACGAGCAAATTTCACACTCCAAAACCCTCTTCAACTTTATTTTTCCCAAAACCCAAGCTTTTAAAATTTTCTCCTTGCTTTTTGAGGCGCTTTTGTGAAAAATGTCAAAAGTTTCAAGGGGTTCTTTGAAACTCTTTTGGAGTCGTTGAGGTTTGGTAGGAAAAACTTTGGGTGTTGGTTGGGAAAACAAAGGTAAGCGAGGTTGTTCAGTGAAGCCCCTATAGTTTCGAGGGGTTTTGTCAAATTTACTCAAAAAAAAATCTCAGTATCGCCGAAAATGCTAAATGGCACTTAAATACCCTATTGTTTCACCACATTTACGCTTAGATATCCTAAATCGTAAGAAGTAGCACATTAGATACCTAAGTTATCCATGGTAGAATATTGTAAGCTGGCCATTAAGAAAAACTTATTATGACAAAGTATCCCTTCTATAGGAATTTGAATGTAAAATTTAATTAAAAGACTGAGGGTGTGTATAGTGGTAAATACGATAATAAATAGGGTTTACGCAATCATAAAGATGTTAGGTGCCAATCACATGGAAATATTCCTAGAAATATTCCCAAATACAAGTAGGGGTGGCACTAGGGGCACACCCCCGGCCCCCCCCCCAACCACTACCCCACCACACCCTCTCTCTCATTTGCTACAGTGCACCGGGTCCCCCATGTGATTTTAAATTTTAAAATATCATATGGGGCCCGGTGTACTGTAGTAAATGAGAGAGAGGGTGTGGTTGTGGTTGTGGTTGAGGTTGTGCCCCTATCATTTTCCTACAAATAGTGCCATTTTTTATTACGACTTAAGATATTAAAGTGCTATTTTTTTTTATAATTGAGAGCATTAAAATACTACTTTTTGCGATTTAAAATATTTGAGTGTAAATATGACAAAACAATATGGTATTTAAGTGCCATTTAACCCCCCAAAACATTTTCTTCCAAACCCAACCCAACAACATTATTTACCCAACACGTTTCTTTATCCCATTTAACCCCCTCTCCTTTACTTATTCCCTCTCATCTAATAAACCCGGCTCCTCTCTCTCTCTCTCTCTGTAGAAGAGCAGCTTTAGTTGCTCTCTGTAAAATGACTCCCTCGTTGCTCCTCCTCCTGCTGCTGCTGACGCTGCTCGCAGCAGCCACCGAGGGTAATCGGATCCGGGTAAAGAAAGAAACCGGGCAAGGGTCCGACAGAGTCCGGAACTTGCCGGGCCAGCCTCCGGTGACTTTTCGGCATTACTCCGGGTACGTGAAGCTGGGAGGGGGCAAAGAGAAGGCGCTCTTCTACTGGTTCTTTGAAGCCGAGGGGGGGAAGAAGAAGCCGCTTGCTCTTTGGCTTAACGGAGGTCAGTAGTTTCCGGGTCCCGCGCCCGATTTATTTATGCTCCGGATCCGAACTGGGGTCGCTTTAGTACTAAATTAACGTTAACCCCATCCTTTTCAAATTCGTTTTTATATAAACCCAGAACTCAGTAAACAAAATATCGACCCTAACAAAGCAGCAATTGGGTTTAAATGTAATTCTCCACACGAGTGTTCTGAGTTTAAGAGTCGTGTTCGGAGAGCTGAACAGTGAGAACCATGGGAAATTTTGGGTTTGTTAGAAAAACACGAAACATCTTTTTTTTTGCCCCCCTTAATTAAACTAACTCTGGTGAATAATTGAGCGAGTTTGTGTTTTGTTAACCTACCGGTTTTGAGATTCAAACTTTTGAGCGTTGAAAGTTTCTGTTGACGTGACTTGCTGACGTGTCGTTACCCGACTCGATTAACTGAGCGCCCAAGATATTTTTCGTGCGGGTGGGCTGGCTACTCAAAGATATTATATTTTTGAGTGCTGTGACTGCATGGGATAGGTGAGTTGTCGTCTTACTGTACCGTGATGCACGACTGTTCACAAACAGTGCATCACGGGACAGTGAGTCGACAACTTAGCTGTCTTACTTATGGTTCCCTATTTTTGAGTACCGGAGCTATTTTTTTTATATTTTTTTCAACTCCAACAGTATTATGGGGATTTTTTTCAGGCCCCTTAGACCATCTCCAACCCATTGTACCAAAATGGTGCAAATTTTGCATCAAAATGGTACAAAAATCACATCAAACAGTAATACATCTCTAACTCATTGCACCATTTTTTCACCAAAAAAGAATATTCTCAGTATATTCTTAGTTTATTCCCTTTTATCTATTTTTATATTAATTAAGAGGTAAAAATAAATAGTTATAAATTTTTAAAAAAAGTGAACAGTAATACCGTAGATGAACAGTGCGACGCCATATTTGGTGCAACACTGTTCAAATGCACCAAAATGGAGCAAGAAATGGGGCATGATTGGAGAAGGAACAAAAATGCACTGTTTGCACCATTTTGGTGCTGGGTTGGAGATGCCCTTACACCTTTCAAAATTTGAAGTTGGACCTGAAATCTTTGATATTTTGATTTAGTCCCTCAAATCATTGAAATAACTATTCCAGGCAATCCCTAAACTCATTGTAATTTTAATCAGGCCCTCGAGATCTTAAGTTATTTTGAGCAGAAGTAGCAACTAGAGGACAAACGCATGACAACAGATTATTGATTCTAAAGTTGAAAGAGCTAAGTTCCAAGGGTACAGCGGGAAAAAAAAAAACTTTAATTAGACTACTTTAATTTATAGCAGACCAGAGAAAAAGTTTTCGTATAGTGCTTCTTGCTTGGATATAATCGAAAGCTACCCCATCTTCCAAAGCTCGAGGTGATTATGTTATAGGCTGCTAACGTGATTAATATTAATTAATGGGATTAGAAAAAAAACTATGAACTTTATTATAGATAACTTAGAAAATTAGTAGTCTCCTGTTTGTCTTCAAAATTTTGGCAACATGAGGAGTGGGTAAAAAGTGAATGTAGGCATGTGATCGACAATGTACCGACACAGGAATGTATTTTACTGCGATGTAGATTCTTCTCAATGTATAGTAGTTGTACTTTAGTTATTTACCCTTTAGAGTAAATTACACTGCACACCCAAAATCTTTCAGCGTTAATTGTGAGCGTCCCATGACTTTCAAAATCGCGCTAAATACCCAATAAAATTTTCAAAAAAAAAAACTCCATAGCCAACACCTTTATATCTAACATGACACATGCGACTCATGTGATTTGAAGTGACAAAGGCATGCCTTAAATTGTTAAACAAATCTTTTATGAATTTTTTTTTTCACATTTTCGATCTGTAGAAATCTTTCATTTTTTTATCATTCGTTCTCGTCTTGCTCATGTCTAGGTTGTTTTTGAACCCTAGCTTTTCTGGCTAAAATTATCCTTTAAAGTTGTTTCTTTCTAATTTATGGGGGGCTATTTGCATAACGTGGAATCCTTAGGATTTTCTGCAATTCCAAAAGGTGGCGGGGTTTACTGCAATTTTAAAAGTTTGACTACAAACAGCCAAAAGTTCTTGGTGGCTTAGTATAATTACCCTTTTTTTATACATTTAAATATGCTATGTAATCGCTGGACAGGTAACTTTCTTGTTGGCTGGTCTAATTCCTTGGAGTTCGGACTCTTATTTTAAGCTCCCTACGGTTCTTAATCTAATCCCCCTTTGTTATTTAGCCCCCCGGTGCACGTACGGTTGATTATCATGAATTCATTCTTTCATTTTCACTTTAAAAAAAAAAAAAAAAAAAAAAAAAAATCCCTTCCCCTAATGGAAAAGAGGTTAGACGCAAAAAGGTGATTAGTTGAGGAGGGAGAAGAGGATTTGCCCTTTAAAAAAGTATGAACTTGAATGTAAACTTACAGAAAGGGTATAACCAAAAACCCAAGTCAGTCAAAACGATAACGAAACTTTTCAAAAAGTTCCGGAGGATTTTGTGAAACACCCCAAACTTTAGGCGGAATCCCTCTAAATTTTCCGGTGGGAGTCTTGTCGGAACAACTGATATAGGAGTGACATGATCTACACCATAAATCAGCCGGGTGTTCTCATAGAATCCGGCGTACTCTTAACTTTTCATAGTTACGAAAAGTTTAGGGGCCGTTTGGTTCATGGGAAGGGCATTGGGCTTTGGGCAGAAAGCCTGCCAAAGTGCCAGTTTTGACAGGCTTTCTACCCAAAGCCCAATACCCTTCCCATGAACCAAACGGACCCTTAGGTGGGTTTTTTTTGCAATTATCACAGTTCTAGATTCTAGGTTTTACAAGTTGATTTTGATGTGCAAAATAAAATTCTCCAAAATATATGATACGGGAGTAAATGCAGGGCCGGGGTGTTCATCAATAGCGTATGGAGCAGCGCAAGAGCTTGGCCCATTTCTGGTCAGAAGCGACGGGCTCAACCTCACCCTCAACCCTTACTCATGGAACAAGGGTAAAACCCCTAATTAAAGCTACTAATTTTATGATTAACACTACGTGCTTCATAATTTACTTTATGATAATTAAAACTTGGTCTAATTTTAATTAACATTACTGCATGCAGTTGCCAACATCTTGTTTCTTGAATCACCTGTTGGAGTCGGCTTCTCCTATACAAACAGATCATCGGATTTGAAAGAGCTCGGTGATCGGATAACCGCGGAGGATTCTCATGACTTCCTTCTGTCTTGGTTTAAGAGGTTTCCTAGATTCAAGTCTCATGATTTCTACATTGCGGGAGAAAGCTATGGAGGTATACAAATATACAATATTAACCAAACAAGTGAAGTCATGGAAAAATGCAAAAACTCACTTTGTTTAAAGACGTCACGTAGCACCGAAACTTTTGTCAAACAACCCTAAAAATTGCTAGACAACCCCCAGCTTGACACCTCTTTTTGTGTGATGCGCCATATTTTGCAAGTTTTTTATTTGTAGAGCACGTGTATCTTGATGTAGGACGCTTAATCGAAAATTTAATGGATGATTCGGACATTCACGAGCTAAATACAGATTTATACTTCCGCAAAGAAACAATCATATCTTTCAATCCGGAAGGCGGATTCTGACATATTATATGTGTAAATCGCCTATCTCGACGAGACAGAGCCAACCAGATTGTCAGATTTTTACAATCTCATCAATTATACCCATATTTGGCTGAAATCCGAAAATAATCAGCCTTTAGTTTATTTTTAGTAATAAAGTTGGAGTCTGTTTTGTTTAGGAAACAAATCCGATTTGATCTCAGATTTTACCGGTGGACTTTCCTAATCATAAGGAGTCTTTTTTAGGAGTTTTAATATTTTAGGAATTTTTAATATTTTTGGTTAGTTCAGAGTTCTTGTAGGAATTAGAGAGAGTCATTGTAGGAATTAGAGTCCTTGTAGGAATCTTGTTTCTTTTTCTATTTAAGAAGAGTCTTGTAAGCCCTAGTAGGAATTAGAGTCCTTGTAGGAATCTTGTTTCTTTTTCTATTTAAGAAGAGTCTTGTAAGCCCTAGAGGCATAACTTTTTATCAATAAAATTTCGTTTTTCCTCAATATTTCTTCGTGGATTCGAAGCTCTTCGTGGATTCGAAGATCGTTCTTTGTGGATTCAGAGAACACCCTTGGTGGATTCCGAGGTTACAACTTCCGCGCTGCGTCAATTGGTATCAGAGCAAAGTTCCTCCGATCCGATGGCAGGTGATGAAGCCCCTATTTCTCGAACTGAGTTCGACGTGCTGAAGACCGGTGTTAATCAGATGAAGACTGCCGTAGAGCGACTTGCGTCGGCAGTGGAGCGTCTGAATACGGTAGGAGTTCAAAATCGCGTTGATGGTCGCCAACGACGTGATCCAACTCCATATGATAAATTCAACAGGGACAATGATCTTAAGCAAGACATTAGAGTTGAGAAGAGTAGTAAAGAAGCAATAAAGAAAGAAGAACCATCTCCGGAGCAAAATATCTTTCGCACGAGATGTACCGTGATGCAGAAGATTTGTAATGTTATAATTGATCATCACAGCAGTAAGAATCTTGTCTCTCGGCGTATGGTGGAGAAGTTAGGACTAAAGATAGAGAAACACCTACCTCTCTATATGATCGACTGGATTAGCATGGACAATGTTGTGCAGAACGATGAGAAGTGTCGGGTACGTTTTTCCATTGGCCGAACTTATATTGATGAGGTTTTGTGCGAAGTGGTCGAGATGGATACTTGTCATATGATTTTAGGTAGGCCATGGCAATTCAATAATGGAGCTACCCATAGGAGCAGAGACAATGTTTATATCTTCAAGAAAGATGGACGTCGAATTGTGCTCAAGTCTCTTATAGAAAAGGAGCCATTTAAGATAAAAGCTACTGAGAAGAAGAAACATTTAGTGACAAACAACGAGACTTTAACAGAAAACTTGAAGCAATCTAAAGAGGTCTATCATTTGGTTGTAAAAGAAGAACCTGCATCTACCGAAATTCCTCCTAAGAAGCAAACACTTGATATGCATGAGATTTATGATGGTGATATGATAGTGAAGATGGATGATATGCATGATATTCTTAAAGTGGTTGAGAGTGATATTGCACATATTGATGTTGTCCTGATAGAGGAGAAAGATAAAATAGAGAGTGATGCAATTGATGGTATGTGTGAATTGCTTGGTGGAGGGCTAGAGACAAAGGAGATGAAAGAATTGTGTATGGAGTATGACGCGGGATTCTCTTCTCTGGAAGCAAAGATTGTTAATAATTTCAAGGTGATGATACTTTCAGCACTAGAATATGAGAAGCAACATGGAACATATTTTGAGGAGTTTTTCAAGTCAATTACAGATCCACATGCTGTCAGACACATACACATGGTGTGTGAAAGATTTATTCAAGAATTTGAGTCAGAAGAAGTCCTAGCTGAAGAGGTAAAACAACAGATGGAGAAAATCAATGCTAAGTACAAGGCAGATGCTGATCGATGCAGGTTAAGAAAGATATTTATCGATGAAGCTACTATTCAAGCAAATATAAGCTCGAGGACGAGTTTCTTTCAACAAGGGGAGACTGATGTAGGACGCTTAATCAAAAATTTAATGGATGATTCGGACATTCACGAGCTAAATACAGATTTATACTTCCGCAAAGAAACAATCATATCTTTCAATCCGGAAGGCGGATTCTGACATATTATATGTGTAAATCGCCTATCTCGACGAGACGAAGCCAACCAGATTGTCAGATTTTTACAATCTCATCAGTTATACCCATATTTGGCTGAAATCCGAAAATAATCAGCCTTTAGTTTATTTTTAGTAATAAAGTTGGAGTCTGTTTTGTGTAGGAAACAAATCCGATTTGATCTCAGATTTTACCGGTGGACTTTCCTAATCATAAGGAGTCTTTTTTAGGAGTTTTAATATTTTAGGAATTTTTAATATTTTTGGTTAGTTCAGTCCTTGTAGGAATTAGAGAGAGTCATTGTAGGAATTAGAGTCCTTGTAGGAGTCTTGTTTCTTTTTCTATTTAAGAAGAGTCTTGTAAGCCCTAGATGCATAACTTTTTATCAATAAAATTTTGTTTTTCCTCAATATTTCTTCGTGGATTCGAAGCTCTTCGTGGATTCGAAGATCGTTCTTTGTGGATTCAGAGAACACCCTTGGTGGATTCCGAGGTTACAACTTCCGCGCTGCGTCATATCTCTTAGCTGAAATAACATTTTTTTGGGTACTTTTAATCATAACCATCTATTGTTTAGCTGAAAGGGTAATTAATTTATTCAAAATTTGAGCACTTACTTATCTCCTAGTGTATTTTACGATTCCCCTTTTACGTTCAGGGTGAATCACAATCGTCAACTACATAATAAACAGTTGTGATTAAAAGTAGCGACATGCACTAATTTTTGACAGTGAAATTATGACTTAAAGTAGTAGTGCAATCTACCTAAGCTGGTTTAACTAATCAATGCGTATATGTGTACATCAGGACACTATGTTCCTCAGCTTGCAGAGCTCATTTACGAAGGAAACAAAGCGGCATCAAAGGATTCTTATATTAAGCTCAAGGGTTTCATGGTGAGTACTCGAGTACCTATACCAACTTTAAGTTGGTCCTTGAATAAAATCACTGTAGATGTCACTAGAGTGCAAGAGACAATTAGCTGGCTACATTATTGTCTTTTAGCCGAGGCCATACCTAACTTTACTCTGCTTTGATTCCTCTTTTTTCTCTGGCAAGAAAAAGTAAAAGCTAATGCAGATCTAGAAGATTGCTGAAGTCTGTTAATAATGGTAGAAAAAGATTCTGTATGCTCTGAAACGCTTTTATCTTAGAAAAAAAAAACTTCCGTTTTTGGATGCATGTTAAAAAAAAAATCTCTGTTTATAGCTGAATTCTTAAATAAAGACGTGTACAACTGGGTAATATTGCATATAACACCCAAAAAGTTTGGCACGTTTTGAGATAACGCTAAAAAAAATTGTGTCAGATTGGGAATGCTGTAATAAACGATGAAACGGATCAAATGGGGATGGTGGAGTATGCATGGAGCCATGCCATTATTTCAGACGAACTGTATTCTGCGGTCACGAAAGACTGCAACTCCTTTAAAGAAGAAGATGATGATGGCCAAAATTCAAGCAGCGTACGTGCCTGTTCTCCTGCAGTCAAGGCCTTCATGCAGGCTTACTCAGATATTGATATCTACAGCATCTACACTCCTGTCTGCCTCTCGTCTCTTGAAGAAAGAAGATCGAGAAAATCTAAGCTCGTTGCAGCTCCTCGCCTTTTCTCTCAGCATGTAAGTACATTCTTTCGCGGAAGGAGCAAAATTTATTGATTTGGGTATCATTTGAAAAATCCTGATATCGTACGTATTGATTGCCCATAAAGTTAAAACTAAATTTATGTCTGTTTTGCAGAAAACCGATATCATTTTGTTAAACTTTAAAATTTTCATGAATAATTTTTCTAACTTTGTTTGTAATTTTATGTATTTTAATTGTTAAACTTTCATAAAACGACGAATTCAAAAGGGCGAAGAAAATAACATATATGCTTTCTGTAGATGAGGAGTTTTAATGTAAACTATTATGCAAACAGGTTATAGACGAAGAAAATTTTTGTGTGATTCTTCTAAAACTAAATAAAAATTTTAAAAAATGAAGATTAAACAAAAATGTTGTGATATTGAACTTTCTAATCAGAGTTACACAAAGCTTTCATTTTGCACTTTGAAATACTATGTATATACTTGCATAATCAAAGTACATGTTTGGTTCATAAAACTTGAATTTTAAAGGAACTTTATGTTATCTGTTCTCGACATTTGCCCCCTAATTGCTATGAATTAAAAGTTTATGATGAATTAGGAGCTTTGGCATGGGATGAGATGGGGGTTGGCGTCAGGATATGATCCATGCACAGCAGACTATGTGGAGAAGTACTTCAACAGAGAGGATGTCCAAAGGGCTCTTCATGCAAATATCACTCATCTCACCTATCCCTATACTCCTTGCAGGTATTTATGCTTTGTATCAACAAAGATAACCTTTTTTTATTCAGAATTTAAATTATACAAAACACTCTTGAATTATAAATCAGATAAAGCCCTCTAAACTTTCAAAGTACACCGAATACCCTAAAATGTTGGAAAAATTCAGGCTTGTTTAATACAATTTTGAAAATTCAGGGTTTTTTTCTCTTATCTCTATAAAGTTCAGGGTTTTTTTTATGAAATTTACCCTCATTTGGTTCAGAGTTTTACCAAAGCGCCGGGATTTGCTAATTATGCTGTGAAAAATTCCTCAAGGACCCAAAATATGGGACCAATAGAGGGGACAAGTGAGGTGTCCCCCTCCTATTGGATAATGAGTTGGCCATCATTAATGATGACCAACTCATTATCCAAGAGGAGGGGGACACCTCACTTACCAATAGAATGATGGCCAACTCATTATCCAATAGGAGGGGGACACCTCACTTGTCCCCTCTATTGGTCCCATATTTTAGGTCCCTGTAGCAAAGCTCTTATGCTGTGGATACATCTTGTGCGTTATTGGCATGTTCATTTATGGTGGTTGATCGTACCTTGTGACGCATGCATGCAGCATTCATTTCTTTTAGAAAAATATGCTTAATTATGCTCTGAATTAGCTCTATTTATAGCCATATATTTATTTCATTCTGTCCATTTCCCTGTCTTCTCCTCATTTAAAGCATAATCTCTCTCGTCCATTTCCAGATCTTTCGTGAAGTACCAATATTAAATGATTTCCCTGCTACCCATCTGCTATATTACTGGCAAATCTAATAATTAAATTTCTTTTCGTCTTCTCCTTATCAAGGCTAAGGTAAGTTGGTGATTTTGGCGGACAACAAATTTTATCAGAACATTTCACATACAACCAGGTGTTGCCGTTCCCTACAGCTAGCCTCGTCATATATGAAATGTTCTGATAACATTGTATCCATCCTAGCTAGTGCCTTAGCAACTAAGTCAAAGCTACGCGCTGGAACCTGGTTGTTGTATTTTTATTAGTATCTCATTCTCTTTTATTAGCACATACATCGCTGATCCGAGTAAGCATGTTACCCTTTACTAGTTTGTTTTCGCTCACATGCGAATCTCGTGGAAATATTCTTGACGAATGCCTGTGTATGTCGATCAATTGATTTCTAGCAACATTCTATGGATCTGCAAATAATACTAAGCTACTTCTGATTCGACTCTTGTAGTGAGGTGATAGAAAAGTGGAACGACTCTCCATCCACCGTCCTCCCGATCATCCGTAAACTACTGCACGCTGGTCTCCGCATCTGGGTGTACAGGTAATTCTTATTGCAGGTTGCATATTTTTAACATGCATATATGCGTTGAGTGGGAAAGACCAACAGCAGAGACCGACTAGGCTAATCTAATCGAACCGAATTGGCTCAAAATGACTTGACGCCTTTTTGGGCCACGAGTCCAAACATATTTAGCTATATACCTCCCTCTGTTAACTACTGATAAACCCCTATGCTATCGCCCAGTTGTGGGTGGGTAGACCTCCGTGCAACTCTGTTTCTGTGAATAAACCCCGTGAGTGAAACTTTTTGGCTCTTTTACCCTCAGGAGGTCGACTTACTAAAAAAAACAATTCTCTCTTTCTTTGAGAGGTAAAATGGTCAAAAAAAATATTTGAAGGGTCTACTCTGCGACAATAAAACTACATGGGATGGGATGCGATGGGGTCCATCCGCGATTAGGCGATAGTACACAGGGTCTATCCGCAGTTAACCCTTTAATATATGTGAGGTTACATCTCATTTCATGTCTTTGTTAAACAAACCTACATTTAACCAAATGGATGTGAAGCACTGCTAGCAGTAGGATAAACTGAACAAACAACTTTTGACGCTGTACAGCGGAGACACAGATGGTCGTGTTCCAGTAACATCAACCAGGTTCAGCATCAACAAGATGAAACTAAAGCCAAAGAAGACTAAAACTTCTCCTTCATCGTCATTGATCGATGAAAGCTGGAGAGCTTGGTATCATGAGAAGCAAGTTGGCGGGTGGTTGGTGGAGTACGACGAGGGGCTGACGCTGGCCACCGTCAGAGGAGCCGGCCACCAGGTTCCGGTGTTCGAACCTGAGAGATCGCTCTCTCTTTTCTCCCATTTCCTTGAGGGGAAGCCTTTGCCTTCTGCTAGATTTTGAGTGTGGAGGTGTATTTGTATGAGTTTGATGTGCAAGTGTAAAAAAAAAGAAAATTTTAAAACTCAACTCTTTGTGCGTTTCTGTGCTATGTTTTTCTGGTGCAGTTTTTGTGCTTTGTTGGTCTAGCTGAATAACTTTTTCGTGTGACAAATGTGGATTTGGTTATGATTAACTCTGTTTTTCTCCTAAAACATCTGTCATTATACAAAATTCTAAAACAATATATGCTTAGAAATTTGTTGCTAGTAAGATTTGAATTTTTGTTGTTCTAATATCATATAAAAAGTTCTTATCATTACATTAACCCTTCAAAAGTTATAGTAAAGATTGATGATTATAATTTTATATTCTAACCAGTGCATGTTTGGGAAATGTGGAAATCGAAATATTTTAAGAAGTTTATGAGTATGTTGCAACCAAAAAATCTACTTATCAGAGCAGACAAAAGAGCTTGGAAACTTAATATCTAGGAGTATGAAAGAGTATAGGAAAACTTAGAGATCAAATAGTTGATGCAAGATATTTTTCTTTTTGTCACACCAATTATCCAGTTAACAGAAAATATCTTATAGTTTATCTTTGCTATAAAAAATGACATTTGATTTGCTAGTAATAGGAGATTCAATAGTGAATAACTAAACCCAATAAGACATCACTCATGAAGAGATCGAGCTCTGTTCTATAAATTAAGCCCGAAACCAAAGCCCAGTTAACCACAAGAACGATAATATCTAATAATGCCATGTATACTGTATACATAGCGTTCTAGCTGGACTAATGATTCTGATTATAGAAATGAGGTGATTATAGCCATAGATAGAATAGCTAAAATTTCCAAGTTAACCCCCCAGCCACCTGTGTATGGTTTAGGTCAGCCAATTTGTATGGGGTGTTCCGATAAAATCTACACTCTTCTGGTTGTGTCTCCTGACAAAAATGTCATAAAACACATTTTTTATGGGCCTAAACCAGGACTCAGTACTTCGTTGATTTGATTTGAGCCTATTTTGCTTTGTATCATGTTAAAAGTCCTTTTATTCTAAGAATGTTTGAGAGACTGCTCGCGCGCGTACACACACACACACACACACACATATATATATATATATATATATATATATATATATATATATATATATAATTTCTAATTTAGAGTTTATTATCTCTTTTAAGCATCTAAAAGTAGTCTAAATTGATGCTGGTAAACAAAAGTAAGAATTAATTAAAAATATTCGGTTAAGGAATAAAATTTTTAAAAAATATATGATTGCTTTAAAATTATTGTCACCATATAAATCAAAGTAATTGCATGTAATTTTACTTATAAGTTGGAGCAGCAAAAATACAGTAGTAATATTTAATTGATAGATGTTTAAATCCATAAAAATAATAAAAGACTATAATATAATAGCTTAGGATCGATTGATTATAATTTAGAAATATTAATCTCTGATGTTAGTAATATTTATAAGGTAAAATAATATAATGAATTAGATATGGAGACACTATCAGAATGTTCAAAGATATCATTCAAAATAATCAAGTTATTTCCATTGCAAAAGATAAAGCGACAGAAATAAATCAAAAAAGCACTGACTGAGTTTCATTGAAGAATAATTAACAATTTTATCTCAATTAAAGAAGAATTCTCCATAGGAGATATAAGAAAAATTAGTAAGTATTCATAAATTTTATACTTTGTTGTTCAAATACTAAAGAAATTAAATATTAATACTATAATCTAAGGTAAATTGGTAATAAAAAATACAGGTATTTAGTTTAGATCTTTGTGAAAAATGATAGGGATAGAGCAAAAGTAACGTTATTGACATATAGAAACTCTTATTGGATGCATATATCAGAAGAATTTATTGTAGATGAAAAAGAGGTATCTCATAATGTTATTTAAGTAATAAATTTGGAACACAAATAATTTTATATATATGAAATTAAAATTTATTCTCATTGAAATAGAAAAAAATCAAAGTCTGTATTTTAAAAAGTTTGTGTTGAACATTAGAAATACACTCCACTTCTTTGTGAAGTTAAATGAGAAGATCAAAGAATAACGAGCCTAGGAAAGATAACAATGCAAAAAATACAACTCCAGCCTGATGTCACAATTAATATAGATGATGAAGACACTATTCTAGAATTCCCCAGGAAAAAAATAAAGGTAAAGAAGGATTGATCTTAGCTCAATAAAAAAATAAAATAGAAGAAATAAAAGACAATATTTTCTAAATATTTTATAGAATAGTTTAATTGTTTTGAATAAAACTAGGAATCTTTACAAAGGAGGTTCATGAACTTTTTTTTAGTACTTTAATATGCTTATGTGGATGTTTTTATCATATAAAAGTATACTAGAGTTAGCATTAATATTTAGTTTATAATTTTTATGAAGTTTATTAATGATTAAGAATAAAATTTATATTCTCTTTTGTCTTATTTTAGTATATTTTTAATCAATTACCTTGCCAGATTTAATATGTACTTGTTAGAATCTTTGAAATATTAGAGGTTTTTGCGAATTTTAAATTTTGAAGAAGTCTTTTATTGCAATTTTTGTAACTTTAAGGTTAATTTTGGTAAATTTTAAATTTTTAGGTGTATGAATGTAATCTCTTGAATTTATCTTTTGTTGTTTGTAAATTTTAAAAATTTAAAATTTTATGGTGATTTTTTATAATTTAAACTTTTAAGGGTGTTTCTATAATTTTTGAGATATTGAAGGTGTTAATTGAAAATTTTAAAGTTCTCAGAGGCTGCTGTTAATTTTTTTAATTTTGTGTTTGTTGTTCTAAGTGTGAAATTTTAAAATTTTTAGGTTCATCATAGTAATCCATTGATTTTATTTATGTTGTTTGAAAATTTTAAAATCTTAGAATTTCATGGTGCTTATTTATAATTTAAACTTTTAAGGGTGTTTCTATAATTTTTGAGACATTCAAGTATTAACTGCAAATTTTAGATTCTTCATATACTATATATTGCTATTAATTTCTTGATTAATGTTTATTGTTTTAATTTTTGAAACGTTAAGATGTTTTTTTAATTTTAAACTTTTCAGGGTTTTTTAGATTCTTCATGTATTATAGTATATTAGCTACATATAATTTCTTTATCTTAACAAACTAATAACGTAAAGCTATTTTATATATTTTATTAATATTTTTTAAATTGTTGAGTTATAGATAGCTCACGTAAGATTAGGATATGATATATTATAATTATGATAGATTAAGATATAAATAAAATATCAAAAATAGTGAAATAAAATATT